CATAATGACGTCATTTGGTTGCATTTTCTTCGAGTACGTCACTGGTGATGTTGCGTTCAATTTGCTGGACCATTTAAAATAATGTACAACGACATTTCACTTCGATGGCAGTCTCAATATTTTCTTACTTTGTATCTTTTGGATTCAGCAAATGTAACCAAATGTAAAATAAACCCAAGGTCACGGTCACCATTCCTTCCTAAAACACCCTCAGTTGAGAAAAATTATGGCGAAGTTACAAAAAGCATCCGACATTTCTAGACGGTTACAGATCTCCGGAATAACACAACATTGCATAACTCTTACTGCGTAATAGTAAAACGGCAATAAAATTTTAGCATAATCACCATCGACATCGTGGTGATTAAAAATAAAATAAAAATTTATAGGAAAAAATGTCATTTGCTTTCTAAATACATCAACAACAAAAACTTCCAACAAATCTCAATCATTCAACCAAATCTCAATTTTCTTCACTTTGTAACTTTCTTTACCAGTCTGGTAAAGAAAGTATATCTCCCGACATAAGCACTACATACTAGCTCTGCAATCAATTTCCAAATCGTCGTCGTCATCATCAAAATGAGTTGGTGAAAAATTCTTTCCATTCGTGGCCGGTACCGTGCCACGATCAATATGATTTCGACCCTTTGGCCTCTTCTGAGAAAAGAAATCGTTGTAAATAGTCAGACGAACCTGAAGATGAAAGAAACAAAATATTTTTTAACAATTAAACTCTATAAATAACTATATTAAAATAATAGACAATAAAACGATAAATTGAACAATAAAAGAAGTTAAAATGTGATTCTTTTGTGGACACAATGTAGATATTATATCATACATATATAATATATTGTATATATAGTACGTACATAGATTTGTTTGGCAAAACGACAAACAAATCAATTCAAGTTACAACTGCGTTTTGGGCCATATATATATATATATATATATATATATATATATATACATATTATGAGTTATATAAACCATATATAATGCGCAAAACAACGAGTATATATATTATATAACCAAAAACAAATTAAAATAACCTTCTCAAATTTCTTTTCATGTTCTAGAGCTGTCAAAAAATAAAAAAATTAACATCTGGTAATGACAATAACATCAGCAACACTAATAACAATGACATTAATGAAGGCGTCATTGGCAAGACATCAATAATAAGTGAAAAAATCATAGTTAATGGTAATAACGGCGTANATTTATATTGTTTGTATACAATTCCTAATCACAAAAAACAACTAAATCGTTAGCTAAAAGGCATTGAAAAATAACAAAAACGTCAGGAAAAACGACAACGATATGAAAAAATGGAAAGCACCTCAAGCTACTACTCAAGCCACTATTCTGAGACCTTCAACTCACACGCACATCACATTACATTGCATAACAACAAAGAGATCACAAAGAGACGCACCATTCAGATTGTTTTTGTTGCCGTTGTAAACACTAGCAAATGAGTTTTTGGCTTTAAGCCATTCTTGCTTCTCAACTCTCTGATCATTCTGAGAAAAAAATTAAAAATTGAGAGATGAATGAAGGAAGAGAATGAACGAATGTATGAATGAATGAATGAATGGAAAAATGAATGAATGGTTGAATAAATGCATGAATGGAAAAATGAATGTATGAATGATCGACAAAGAATGAATATTTCTAAAAAAATTACCGATTTTAATAATGAATCAATCTCCAGCCGAAGTTTCCAGTTCTCTTCATTCATCTCTTTCATCTTACGAAAATAATATTACCTTATTATTATTATTGGACAAATTGGGCGGCGCGATGGTGTAATGGTTAATGTGCCTGGCACTGCTGTTGCAGTGACCTGGTTCGATTGCGAAGAGGTCCATGCCTATCACATACAAAGTGTGCAAAGTGTTGGTTGTATTTGCTTACACTGTGTGTGTGTTTGTTGTTGTTGAAACCTACATCTAAGAAATGCTAGATATTGAATAAATGAATGAATGAATGAATAAAAATTACCGATCCAACATTCCAAAAAAACAAACAGATTAATAAAATTAAATTTGAAAAAATAAGAAAAAAAGTTACTAAAAAAGTTACTGAATAGGATACCCTTTTAGTGAGAGAGTTCAAATCATTTTGTAGAGTGTAACAATCTTTAAGCAGACGATCTCTATGCTTTGTCGCTAAGTTGTACTGCATTTTTAACTCTTGGTACTCACTAACCCTCAATAGGTTCTGGTTTTTATTCATTAATAAATAAAATTCATAAATAAATAAATAAAAAGACACTTATTCATAATTAATTAATTAATTTTAAAAATTAATAACAAAAAAGAAAGCAATTAGATAAAAAAATACGTATGGACTTTTAACTTTTTGTCTATACTCTTTTAATGATTCCAACTTTTGGCTTAATTCCTGATTTTTCTTTTTCAACTTTAAAAAATTATTATTATTATTATTAATTAATTAAATAAATAAATAATAAATAAATTAATTAATTAAAATAATGCTCTATAGACACAAGAGTGAAATAATTTTGGACTAAAAGTACTACTAGCATTAGCATCACCACACATTCATTATATTGCAATCAGAACATTCACAAATGGCAGGTTAATTTATTGTAGGCGGTTTATAATGGTGCTATCAGTCTTAAGTACATGTGCTGTAGTTCAATTCTTGTACAAAAGTTTTATGGTTGTGAATGAATAATTGAATTGTTGAATAATTGATGAATTTAATATAAGTTATAATATAACTATAATATAATATAATTTCAATGTATATAATATAACTATGATGAAATTTAATAAAATTTCAATTTAATATGGAAAAAAGTCTACAATTTTATTTTCGTTTAACAGATGGAGCAGTGGAGAATTTTTTAATTTCAACTCCCTCATTTTTTTCAGGAAACCTTTCGTGATGTTCTCCATTTCACCAAAATCAAAAGACTGTAAATTATTCACGAATGAATGGAATCAATATTTCATAACAATAAAACGTGAAAACACTATTTCAACTTTTAAAAAATTATAACGCTAACATCAATATGACCGAATGACAATACCTAACGCTAATGACAATAGGTCTGTGATGGTTTGAAACAACTGAACACATGACACCTCATCATCATCACCACAATTAAACACCTCATCATCATCACCACAATTAAACACCTCATCATCATCACCACAATTAAACACCTCATCATCATCATCTGAAGGCAGACTGAGATTTAAATCACTGATACTATCCAAATTCGGAACACCTTCATAAATTGAGCTACAAGGGAAGGTTAAAGATAGGAAACTATCAAAACTTGACAGGTCAACTTTCACTTTCTCTTTAGAATTTTTTATCGCCAGTTTGTTCTCTTCAATATCAGGTTTTAGATCTGTTTAAGTTAGGTTAAAAATTACATATAAAAAAACAATCAATTTTTATTTAACTGAAAAAATATGTTGAGTCAAATTTATTTATTTGAAAATGGCTTCCAAATAAAGCAAGAAATGTACCCATGATAGAAAATGAATTATCTTCTGCATCAGCCTTAGAACAAATCCCATTATTAATTTTTTCTTCATTATTAAAATCGAATGACTCAAGATCCGGCAGTAACATTCCAGGTTTATAATCCAATAGTCCAACTTGCTGAGA